AACTCTCGTGAGAGATAGCACAGCACAGCTGGCAGAGAAGCAAGAGACTGTTTTCAGCCTGTATACTGTAAATACCTAAAACTGAAATTCTAGAGATGTCACCTGAAAACAGCCAGAATTTCATTCTTTTTAGCAATGTTTGTGTCTCTATGTTGCGCCCCCCCCCCCCCCCCCAAAAAAAAAAAAAAAAAGTTAAATGTACACTTTGAAAAAAGGGAAGAGGTGGCTGGAAAAAGCCAGCTGTCACTAAAGGACACATCTCTGCTCACTTGAGGCTGGACTGTGGGGTTCAGTGGGCAGCAAGCTCTGTATGCACACATGGTGCATTGCCAGGACGCTCCCTGCCTCAAGCTCTGCCTGCATGTCTCTTCAGCCTGTTTGTAAGGCAGCTGTGGGGAGAGAGAGAGTAGAGAAAGTAGAGCACATCATCTTCTCAGCCACTCTAGAGATAAATGTTTCAGAAAGGTATAAATACAAACTTTATTTACTGATACCTGCTCCTCTACAGGAAGCAGAACAATGGTGTAACATCTGCTTGCTACTGTGATGCCCACTTTGCAGACTCATACTTGGTAGCCTACAGTCCACCTTTGCTGATAATCCTAGAAGAGAGTTCAGTAGTTTGTTTCCAGACACATTTCTTCAGCTACATAACGTGGCTTCCAGTGCCAGGCTGTTGAACTAACACTAGAAAGTGTGCTAAGCACTAAGGAGGTCACTATGAAAGTACCAGCACTGCCCCTAAGCAGCATGCCACATCTATTGGTTTGTACTCCAGTCACAAGAAAACAGCCCTATGAGCTCTCTTTACCTAACTGTTTCTCCTCTGTTCTTTAACTTGTCTGGAAACAAAAGAAAATGTTGAAGGGCTGCTTTAAGAAAATGCCCAAACATTATCTGCAGCTGGAAAAAAAAAAAAATTAAAATAAATGATCATAATATTAAAAGAAGCTCTGCCAAAAAATGCAAACGTAGTCACAGCACCAGATGGTCTAGCTACATTTCTTTATTTAAAGAAATTATCTTTTCAAAGCCACTGAAAAAGGCTGAGAGAATGGTTCAGGTGGGAATCTGAACCCACCTTTAGCAGCTGAATTCCTGAAACAAACTCTTGCAAGTCCCAGTTCAGCAACACTGTGTAATGAGGCAAATGTCATCGGGCTTGTGTCTGTTGGGTCAGAGGATCACTGTGCTCTGGGATCCCATGTCCTGGAGTGCAGGGAGGAATTCAGTTTAAGATTAGGATTCACCATGCTGTTGGGTTAGCATCCAAACGTGAACTTCAGTGGGATTGCCCTTCCCTTCAGCAAGGCCTAATGCTCTAATGTTCTGAGTTAAGGCTAAAATGCTGTGTAAGAGACCTGTAAATGAAAAAAAATTCTCTGGATATATTTTGAAATTCTGAGTTCATCTCTGTATATCCTATTGAAAGTGACTGCTTATTAACAATTTTCTGACAGAATCATGAATGGAAAAATCCCCCCGCCCCAACAAGAAGCAAAATAAAATAAATAATTTTCTGGGATACATCTAAAAGAAATCACTAATTGAATTTTAAGGTTTAACTTCATAGGTAACTCAGTAAAAAAAAAAAAAAAAAAAAAAAAAAAAAAGGCTTAACTGTAACTCTTAAAAAAAAATAGGAACAGGGAAGAATGTCATAAAGCAACTACAGCAGCCCAGTCGAACAATTCAGTTCTTAACAGGACAATGACTTGTGTGGGGTTCTAAGATTTGAGGCCTAGTTTGCTATACTTTACATAAAACAAACAAATAAAAGCAACTATTAGTCGCTGCAGTGATGTACAGAGGATGACTGAAAAAATGAATGAATGAATAATTACATGGTACTTCCACACTACAATGAGGAATCACTTCTGTCATCTGCCTGCTCATTAATCTCATTTTATGTGCAATTACCTGTAAATTGGGCCCCTGGCAAGCAGCGACATCCTGAGACATCTCCAGAAAAAGCTTTGTTAAAAAAGCTTTTGCATTTGTTTGTGACTAGTGTTGGTCTAGTATTAAATGTGTTGGTTGGTGGCCGAGCCTGTGGTGGTGGGGGGTTGGAGATTCATGATCTTTGAGGTCCCTTCCAATCCGGGCCATTCTGTGATTCTGTAACGACCTGTTTTATAAATCTACTACGCATGTTTACAGTTTGCTTTACTTCTGTACAGAAAATGTTTTACAGACATAGGTGGATTTTTTTCAACGCATAAGGTATGTGTAGGCCTGTCAGGTCTAGAATGGCAGAAAAGAAGGAAAGAAATACAATAATAAGGATATAGAAAATTGCTGTAATGACACCTGCTATTGTGTGTGGTACACTAATGGTTATTTACTGATGGGGAAGGCAGAACACGGTTTTTGACAAGTCTTTCATTTTATAAATCAAGTTATCCTCATGGCAGATCATAGCTTTTTAAAAATATACCTAAGCTGGTCAGATATTACATAGCTAGCTGAAATTGCATGTTGAAACTTGCTACTAAAAGATGTAAACAGGTGAAATTCTACAAGAAGAGAAGGTAAAATGGGCAAACATAGGCTGAAACAGCTTGAAAATAGATCCATGGCATGTCTAGAAGCTCCATCTTTCTAACTTGTCCCTTTGTCACTTGTGCTGGTGTTGAGGGACAGGATGAGGACATCCATGCTTCTTTAAAGCAGTATCTGCACAACAGAAAGCTCTCTCTTGACAAGTGAAGTGGCTACTGCAATCATTTACACAATCTCAGTTGGGCTTCCTACGGCTTATTCCCTTGTGAACTGCACCTCCAGCATCCTTCTTTACACACCAGAAGATGGAAAAGGATTTAGTGAAATGTTTTATGGAAACAACTAAGTACTGAAAATATTGCAGAGATAATACTTCTAGGTATTCTTTGCTATGCTATCCATTATATTATTGAACTGGAGGGAAGTTTCAGATAAAATATTTTTACAGGCAAACTACATTCTTTGGAGAACATCATGATATTTGGAGAATAAGGTAACGAATGATGAAAAATCTAGGCAACATGCCATAGCATTATTTTGGCTAACAGCTCTGTTTGGAGCAGTTTATTCAAAACCACAAATGGCCTGTTTCAAAGGGACTGACATATGAAAGATGAGTATGTACTTGCTTTTGCTTTTCTGGATTGGATGACAGAAGGAGAATATTTTTGGGCTTAAACACAACGTTATGGTTCAGGGTCCTTTCTTCCTTGGCTAGTTATTAAGATAGCCCCAAACACTAAAACGTACAGAAGATCATATACTGTTGGCAACCTTGATACAATGTATCTTAACAGTCATATTTTGATTTAGAATACTGTACCAGAAAAAAATTAAAAACCTGGAAATTCAAATTTTCTTTCAAATTTTAACATATGCCAGAAATTTACCTCAGCATCATCATATTTCAGATTCTAACACAGATGCAACTATTTCTTGAATAGGATGGATAAGGTCCATCTCATCAACACGCTACTACATCTTTTCTCACAAGACAGGGCAGAGCATGTGCAGGTATTTAATTTTATATCTGGTATTTTACGGTGTCAGTATTTCACGGATGTTTCATTAGAATGTGAAAATAAATATATGGTATAAAAATATGAATACATTACATGCGTATAGATACACACACATGCATATGAACAGAAAAAAAGCGAGACTGCAGGCTGTGGCTACCCGTTGGCTGCAAGTATTCACAGTGCCACCATAAAAGGTAACGTTGAACTGTATGAGATGCTAGTAAGTACAAACAGAAATGACTGAATTTGACTGCTACAGGTAATGCACAAGACAGGATATTCTCTTATGAGATACTTTGTTCTGTAGCAGGGGAAAAGAAAGAATGAAACTTGGACTTCTAACATCAAGTTAAGTGTGATTTCACCAGGGGATACAATAACAAAGCAGTTTATATCAACCAGTGTAGAAATCTGAACAAGAACACTTTGAGAATACACGTGCTTAGCTTAGGGGAAGATCTGAACCTCTCAACTTAATCAATCCCCTTGTCACCAACACTGCCACAACCACTAATCCCATTACTGTGCCTTGCTATTTACATGGGCATTCTTTTCAGGCAATTTTTTCTCTCTCTAGGCAGCTGTCAGGCAGGGAGTACAGAAGGCCTCATTCCTGTCTCCAGAGTTATCACAGCCAGACTTGTTCCATGCTGCTGAAACTAAGAATATCTCCCCTTTAAAAGAAATATATTCTTTTATTTTTACCACATTTTCATTATTAAGAAAAAAAGGATTCATAAAATATTATCCTATGGCAATATACAGACTTTAATATTAATGCCATTTAAAAAAAATCCTCTAAAATAGAAAAGATTAAATTTAAGCATGAATAAATACTAGTATCTGCCTGGAAGCTACATCTGTGGCCTTTGTCTCCCATCTTTTGACATCCTGTGAACATCTCCAGAAAGTTACAGAACATTTTCTCTTGAGCAAAAAGTTCCCCATGGATATGGATGGTAGTCTGAGAAATATCTAGAGGTCTCCTAATTTCTCACTCACATGGCTCCAAGCTGGCAGCATCCCATAACCAGGTTTTATACAATAATTAGACAGTCGCTCAAATCATTGTTGCTCAGTTCTTTTCCCTCAGAAAATATTCCTTATGCAAGATTCTGCCTGTTCTGCTGACAGATAAGAAAACGTGCTTTCAAATTGGTCCTGCTATGCCTGACAACACTGTGCTATTCAAGGAGCATAAGCCTTAGGTTATTCTTAGGTTCTTTTGAATTGCTACGAAACACACTTCTGCGCTGAAATGTCCAGCCCTACAATTTTAAGCTTTCATTTTGCTCTTTGCAATTTTATCTCTGCAAGGCAGCATAACTGCAGCAATTGCACATCTCATTTCAGAAAAATAAAGCAACATTCGTTTCACATTTTAATGGCTTACTGTTAGGTGTGGAAACCAGTTCACAGGAAATGAAGAAAGTGATTGTAAATGAAAATGAAAAACAGCAAAACCCAATTACTCACACGTGCTAGGCTGGTGCCAGAAGGAACTTTATAAGGGACATACTTCCTGTAGATATGCCCAACTCTAGAGCATGGAACATCGAACATGCCACCTCCACACATCCACACCTAGAAGACACATGGAGCAAAACATGGCATTTTAATTCGTGGGATATGTGAAAACTACACATCATTCTGTACTGACTTTTCCTGTACTTATAGTGGTGGCCTTATTTGCATGCCCAATGCTGGGATTAGATAATAAGGTTCTTTGGTAGCTGGTATCTCACCTTACAAAAGCAGAGTATGTTCAAAATAAAAGTATAAAACATTTACTGTATCAATGATCCTCCTGAAAAAGCAGCAGAATATTATTAAGTCAGCTGTTCAAAACATACAGGACCAAAATTTCAAAAGGAGGACAAGAGAGTTCAAACAAGCCTCCCGAGGGATGTCAAAACCCAGGACTGTCTCTGGGGGATTTTCTCCTCCTTGCAGAACAATCAAACCAGCTGCAAGCCTTGGCCCTCTGTCCATACAAGGGCTTGCAACTGTTGGTCTCTGGTTGGCTTGTCCTTATCAAGAGTTATTTGATGTTATTTATCCAGGACATTCCTGGAGTCTGTTGAGGATAAATTCCTGCTCCAGGTATTAGACAGATCAACCCAAGCTGAAGTCCTATTGGATCTCATGCTCACCAATGTAGAGGAGACCATTAATGACGTTAAGATTGAAGGCAGCCTGGGCTTTTGTGATTGTGGCCTGGTGGAATTTGTGATCTGGAGAAAAAAGCAGCATCAGGACCCTGAACTTCAGGGGAGCACACTGGAAACAAAAATTTCATGAGCCCCTTCCCACTCTGTTTAAAAGAAAACCACATACAAGCTGAGAGAGAAAAGGCTTATCCTTTAAGTGCTTCTTTATGTAGGTGCATGTAAAGATGTGTCATGAAATATTTGCATTCGTTGAGATGAGAATTCAGGTCCATGTATTACATATGATTTTATCTGTATTCGAAGCATTCTGGAGTGAGATGAAGCAAATTTATGACCTAGGCTAAAGCACAACAGACAGATGACGGCATATCTTACCAGTGAATGACTTACATGCAGTAAGGAATTCATCAGGAAGTTGATATGCTTCCCATTAAAACAACAGTGATCAGATCCCTAACAAAAGGTATCAGATATTATGATATAATTATGAATGTTTGATGTTTTCTGTGAGGCCTGAAGAGGACAATGTACATCTATACTTTTTAACCTTACATTCTATACCCTCCCTCTCCTCCCTACCTGCTAACTGGCTGTAGCTGCTGGCTTACTGAAATCACAGGAAAAAATACATGATTAATTTCATTCACTTAAAGCAACAGCAAAAATGGACAGGAGTTTGGCCTCTTTCACTGTGCTTGCCTGCACTACATCTGTGCGGTTCTGGCTGTGTGGTCATGAGCTTATAATGAAATTTTAGTAATCTGAACACGCATATGCTAAGCGCTGCACTATGGGATAACTTGGTGCTTGAGTGTAACTGAAAGCAATTGCCGAAAGTAGCAATTGGGAATTCAGCTCCTGAGACTGACTGTGCTACTCATGCTGTGAATGGAAAAAGCAGGGGTTTTAGCATGAGGGCTTGAGCTGCAAAGCATTTTAGGAAGCTACATCTTATGGGTCATTTGGGTATTGGTCCATGTAGTCTGTCAGCTGGCAGCCCTGACATCCAGCTGAGACCTGGTAATCATTTGACGCTTTGCAGCAGACTGCTGGACAAACTTAAGTACGCTAGGGGAGGAAGTAAGGAAGGCTTGAAACTGGCAGAGGTAGGGGAAGACCCTGGGCTTGCCCTGCAGATCCAGAGACCTCACTGTGCAGTTGGGTACAGCTGTGAGTTACCTGGGAGCTTAACAGCTCCCAGCAGCCTGTCCTTCCAGGACAAGGAGTGCCATGCTGCTGCTTCTGGTGCATGGCAGCATGTCAGATGGGCAGACACATTGTGCAGATGGGCAGCACAGGGTTATACAGGCAGCTGTACTGGATATCGCTCTGTCAAATGGAAACATGTATGTTGATGGAATTAAGCGCGAGCACAGTTCTTCTGATGGGTTGGAAATGGAGACCCAAAGAAATGCCCTGCATCTGTGCCAGAAGAACTCGTTGCAGCCCAGAGCAGCCTTGCTATGCCATGTTGACACGACCTTTTGTTTTTTGAAAGTATTTTGTAAAACATACTTCTTAAAGAAAACACTGAAATCATCAAATCTTCATCCGCCTAAGCCCATGTCACCTACCTCACAATGCTCATATTAAAAGTTATAAACATGAGAATGTTAAAATCAGGTGGGTAATGCCAATTATTAAAAAATACATTATTCATCTTTCTGTCAATACTTCATTTGTACATTATTTCCTTTGGGATCTTCTGGTGGAAATCTCTGTGGCTGTCTTGAAATAAACCAATGCACTGATGAAAGTGCAGGCATATACAGACTATTCGTTGCTGCTTTTTTAAATGAAAACATTATTTTGAAGGCTAGACAAGACACTGAAGTTATTAAGCAAGGTTTCTAAGTCACTGAAGAGGAGACAGCACAGAAATTTGACTCAGAGGGAGGTCAGCCACAGAACAAAGAACAAATGCAAAAAAAAAAAACACCCAAGAGAGTAGTATAAAGTAGTATATATACACATACATATACACATGTAGGCCAATGTTAATTTAACTTGGCCAGTGAGAGCAGAGGTAGACATGCACTGCATTGGATATCAGTTAAAGAAAAAAAAAAAAAAAAGACAAAATAAAAAAGGAAAAGAAGAAAAAGATTCAGAAAAAAGCCCTGTCAGGTATGCTGAGGCAATAACAAGTGGGAGGAAAAAACACTTTGTGTTAGGTTTATATTTGATAGACATAAAACTTGAAAATGCTGTGCTGCACCTGAGGTGCTCTGTGTAGGGTAATTGAAATGAATCTTGGGCTGCCTTGAAGGACATTTAGCAGCTGTTCCTGTTTATCTTTCAGCTTCAGAATGGTTTTAAAGGCGTTTTTTATATTTTCTTGGGAAGATCAATTCTGGCAACCCTGTCTTTAAAATGTGCATTTTTATGTCACCTGCACTGAATACAGGAAATCGGAGAATGGCTTCTGTGTTAAATATTGCAGTTCTTCAGTGTACCATGAAAGGAATTCAGGTGGTGTGGGACATTTGGTAAAATGATATCACAACACTGATGCCTCTGTTTATCTAAGAAGTAAGCAATGAAACTCTCAAGATTGCTAATGCCTCCTCCTTACAAAAGCAATGAATCTGCTCCGTGTCTGAGGTATAAAAAACAAAGATGAAACCAAAACAGTGCAATTTCAGCTTGGAAAGATCAAAATAAGAGTAGTTTATGTGTCATCTATATACTATATAACGATTTGTCTTTATATAGCTCTTTCCCAGAGAATGTTGCAAAACACTTTATGGGGATGGTTGAAAGCAAGAGGCAAGAATTAATGCAAAGCTTTAAAAGAGATTAAGTTATGGTTGTGTGGTTTAGGTCCCGACTGCAGCTTAGGTATTGCCACAACATTTTTCTGGTTCCATTATACAGCTGTTATAGGACTTTGGGGTGAATCACCCTCTTTTCATATTACTTCATCCTCATAATGAATGCTGCCTGCTCTCTCCCTCCTTGCCTTATCTACCCAGCTTGAAAGACTATCTGTAAAATGTAAATACAGTGCACAAGAGAACAAGATTCCAATCCATATGCTATGCTGTAATCATAATTACCGCAGTAAGAGACTCATGATATTGGAGCAGTGGAGGATGTATTTGCTGGGAACAGGAACGTAAACATATAACAAATTAAGTAAAAGATTGAGGAGGGACTGAATGGGTTTTGGATCAGGCTTCAAAACTAATTGAGAAATATACTGCTGCTGCTGAGAGTCAGTAATAAGACAGACAATGACAAGAGACACTGAAATTATAGGAAAAAAAACCACAAAACAGTAAACTGGTGGAAGAGGAATATAAACTATGCTGTGCAATACTGTCAGTTTGGTGCTTGCACTGAGCAAGAAAGAGAGACTAAGACCAGGAGAAATGTACTACCACAGGGAGGCTGAAAAAGGTGTAGAAAATAAGAATACAAAACATCATGGGATGTTGCAGACATTCTTCCTGAAATATAAGCCTCCCTACTATAAGCCTCATTATATAAATATAATGAGATTTGGCAGCAGTAGAAAAGGAGAAGGAAGAATATTTTATTATGAATTTTTCAATGTAACAAGAATGTCCAACTAAATGCAAGAAAAGATTGAAAAATGGGAACAATGACTTCAGATGTGTGGCTGTGTGGCCAGGAAGGTCAGAAACAGCAAAACCATTTACTTCTGGTGCAGTGGGATTTCATGCCAGTGATACTGAAACAGTACTGTGTACATTGGAAACTGATGACCATGGATATTTCAACAGCCATCACCAGCACCTTTTGAATACTGAGTCTGTATTGGTTATAACTGCACTGACAAGTGGTAATGCTGTCCTACTTCCTGCCTCCCCCCAAGGTTGTCAGCAGTGAAGGGAAGTAACAGCAATGATAGTAAAGAAAGGGATTAATAAACTTGGAGGTGTGTGTTGGAAAAAAAAAAAAAAAAGGGATAAATAGAATCTGGAGGATACGTCAGCATGCATAAGGATAAAACCTTAGAGATAGGTGACTGGCTTCAATGAGGTAAGGGTATCAGCATGAGCATTTCTGTTAAGGTATGATTTATGTGTATGCCTAAGGAATGTCTAGCATAAAGGATCTTCAGCAAACACAGGAAATGAATATCTTTCACCACTCAATATATTTTGGAAATTACTACATAAACTGTGCCTTTCTAACAGATTTAAATTTAGGATTTCCTAAATAGTGATTTCCCTGGTTAATGAGAAAGGAAACTATTCATCAGGTCAGTTCCAGTGCTTTGACAGTTTTCTCAAGTTAAGCATACCCTGAACAGTATCATCAGCAAGACACCATACATCTTTTTAATTAAAAAATTGATCCTGAGGTTATGCTGCCAAAAAAAAATTAAAATACTGAACATTATTTCTTTTGCAAAAATTAATCTAAGAAACTTTTTAATGAAGGGGTCATATTTTGAGACACAGGTTGTGACTGCTTCACCATCCATGGATTTGTGCATGAATGCTCTGATCTGGAAACAGCAGTCCATCAATGCAGCACCCAGTTCTACAATTGCTGCTGTCCTCCACAGTAATGTTACTAGGCAAGAACAAGACAGAAATACATTGGTTTCCCTGAGGAAATAAAGGTCAGGCAAACTTAATAAGCAGCCTTTTTGTTAAGCAGAACAAAACAGAAAGCTGTGCTCTTAACAACTCAGCACCTGGAATAGAAGTTTGTTTGAAGTTTGGGGAAGTTTCCTTTCATGCTACTGCATAGATCCAAATATCACAGAAACATTAGGAGGCTTACTGTATTTTGGAGAAACTTAATGAATTACTGTGCTGTAAATTTAGCTTCAGTGTAGATTCACTCTGTGTAGAATCTTTTGTTCTTTTAGAGAACACACAAAACCAAATTTTTTCTCAACCTTCTGTCCATGTGTAGTGAGATAACACAACTTCCCCCACAGAAAAAGACTTTTGGTTAGGACTGCTCTGCATCGAATCCTCGTGCCTTATCCCAGGTCACATCTAATGAAACAGCCAGTAAGAAACATCAAAACAGACACTGTCCCTCCAAGAGGGAGAACCTTTCCTAAATGTGTTTCAACCTCTTTGTGTCATGAACTGCAGTCTGACTCCCCCGTTCAACCACTTGTCCTGTTATAATTTTACTATACGTTTTTTTTAACCAGTCTTCAATCTCTGCCTTAGCATCTTAAATTCATAAAGCCATATGGTTTGCCGGCGTTAGCATGTGCCTGATGACTCTTGCACCAGCCTTCGATTCACATAGCAGAGTAGCTGATAGTAAGATTGCGATGAAGAAGTGGATGAAGCCTTAGATTGAAGGACTTGAGGCCATTTAATTGAGGACTATTTAACTGAGTCCTGATACTAGCACTGACGTAGCCATTATGCATTTCTCAAACATCCAACTTCTCCAGCTGTCCAAGCCCATACTCTGCACTCACAGTTACGCACCTGCTTTGTAGCCAACACTTCTCTCATTTGGGCTGTGGGGTGACTTTGGATAACCATGGTACAGTAACACAGAGATCCTTGGGTGCAAAGATGCCTTTCCTGAATATGATCTTAATATCAAGTAATCTTTTCCCTTTGGTATGTGGGTTAGAAAAGACACCTCCCACTAGATCAGGTTGCTCAAAGCCCCATCCAGACTGGTCTTGAATGCTTCCAGAGAGGGGGCAGCCACAACAACTCTGGGCAACTTGTTCTAATGTCTCAACACCCTCAAGTAAATAATTTCTTCCTTATATCTAGGGTAAATCTACTCTCTTCAAGTTTAAATCGATTTCTCCTCATCCTGTTGCTACACGCCCTTCTAAAAAGCCCCTCCACAGCTTTCTTGTGGGCACTCTTTAAGTACTGAAAGGCTGCTATAAGATCCCCCTGAAGCCTTTACTTCTCCAGGCTGAAGAGCTGCAGCTCTCTCAGCCCATCCTTAGAGTGTAGGTGCTCCATCCCTCTGATCATCTTTGTGGCCCTCCTCTGGACCCTCTCCAACAGCTTGATGTCCTTCTTGTGTCAGAGGCTCCAAAACTGGATGCAATACTCCACCTGGGGTCTCACAAGATCTGAATAGAGGGACAGAATCCCCCGACTGGTTAGTCACATTTCTCTTGATGTAACTCAGGATACGGTTGGCCTTCTAGGATGTAAGAGCACATTGCTGGCTCATGTTGAGTCTTTCATCAACTGATACCCTCAAATCCTTCTCCACAGGACTGCTCTCAATTCTCCACCTAGCCTGTATCTGTGCTTGGGATGGCCCTGATTCAGGTGCAGGAACTTGCACTTGTCTGTGTTGAACTTCATGAAGCTGGCATAGGCTGTTAGTTCAGTGTGAACCAGACTGCTTCCTTCTAGAGAGTCTGTGACAGCTCTCTCTGTCATGCTCTCTCTCATAATTATGTCACTGTATTTGAATTAATCAAAAGGATCCCAAGTCTGACACAGGGAAGGTCATATTATCACGTAAGGTATCCATTTATAGTAGCTGGGTCATTTGCTTGTTTACAGTTATGTAGCAACTTTCATAAAAAATAATCTGAAAGTTAAAAACAAGATGATGTGAAGAACATGAAAGGAACACCAAGTCCATCACCGAGTTTAAAGACCGGCCTGAAATAGTCCTTTGAAGATGAACTTTGTATAGTTATGGGACATTCTAGTTGGCTTCTTTCTGCAGCTTTTAATGGAAAAAACATATTTTCACAGAATACTTAAGATCTAATTGAATTGAAGAAATGACTGGGAACTGGTGTTTATAGATATTCTGGAGAGAGTTTATTGCAGCACTGTGCTCCAAATAATTATTTGCCAAACAAAATAGCATTAATACTAAATAATGGTATGGACGCAAAGCACTCACGATACAACACTTCCACAAACCATACCACTGGTTGTCCTAAGGACTCTAAGATATAGTTTCCCATGCACTCGAGTAAAGGTCTCACACAGGCTGGTAATCTGTTTTCTTCACTGACTTTATGAATAACAGAGATGGCAAGTCCATCAATCTCTCAAGTTTGTAAATAGAATAGTAAATTAAACTGAATAATTTGTTGTCACTTCAAAATGTTTCAAGATGACTGAATTTGTAGCTCTTGATGTAGAAATTGTTGATGCACCAACCCAAGCTGATACTGATGATTCTGGTCTAACAAAAAACTCTGTCCCGTCTCTCTCTCCTGCCCCATTGATCTTTCTTCCATTTTCTGTCATTCCAAACAAAACAAGTCTTTCTTTCTGAAGCTTGCATAGGTTGAGTTCTTCCAGTATAAAGCTGTTTCTATTAGGCAATCCCTCTCTTTCTTCTTTTTTAATATTAATTAAAAAGACAGGGACGCTAAGGTTAGTGTGTACTAATGGGATGATTCAGAAGATCTGACTGAAATGAGACCCAGTGTGACACAGCTGGCTACAGAAAAAAATCTATTGCTTAAGCAAAACATACTAGGGTACTCCAGTATCTCAGTTTCTAGTGCTGTTACCATGGTTTCTATACAAAGACTGGACTGCATTACAATTTTATTCTTTGTGATGACAAATATAAAGAATATATGGAATAGGATAATAAAATCTTAGGTGACCTGTCAGAAGCTCTTGTTACAGCTGCAAATGACTACTTACATTTGACTTTGAAATGACTTATCTGGATAGAATGTAAATTGATACATTCTAAACATGATTTCTAACTATTGGATTTCCCTTGCCTTCCAATTTTATTTTGCTGTGTGTAAAAATGATTTAGAAAGTAGTTCAGTTAATACAAACAATTTTTCTAGTTTTGATAACTCCCATAATAAAGACAGTCTGGGAGTCCAGTGCAGGATCATGGTGTATGTTTCATTCAATAGAATGGCAGTAGCTCTGTTGTTTTAATCACTGCAGAAATTCAGATGGAGCAATATGTACGATATGCTTTAGTATGATTGACATACTAAATTTATTTACTGAGCTTTACGCTGTAGGAGTTTGGAAGCAGGATGGAATGATCCTGAAGCTTAATGTAAATTCTGATTAAAAATCCAAACTTTATCCATACATGTTTGACTCAATTCATTTATATAATGAAATTGTATTAGCTAATTGAAAACATTTGCATTAGGTGAAGTTCTTAATTTTGGGTAAACTGGAACAAAAGAAAATGAATTTTCAAAATTATGCATGTAGACCTCATTAAACTAATGGAAATACCTGTCTGACATGTAAAAGGTAACAAAAGGTAGTGACTTTGAACTCAGCATGTAAAAGCCAAACAACTGATTTGAATACACATGTCCACATAGAGGATGTAAGATTGCTGATTGTACATAACCTCAGCACTTGAAAACTCTCTGACATTACAATTTCATCAATTTAACTATGCAAACACAATTAAAAAAATCGACTGATTTTGAAAACCCAGCTGCCAATAACAGCTCATAAGAACTAAGGTGATCTAGTGATTGTGTTGAAAAGGGTTTTCCTTCCTATGACTTTCTTTTTTTCTTTCCATGAGCTGACCCTATAAGGGGCTACCCTCAACATGATGGAGTTCAGTAGGTGCAACGTCTGATGGAAGGTAAGTAGAGAAGACTTGATACAAGGAACAAAGTAAAGCTTCACGATGGCGGTAAACTTCTACCACTTGGAGAAAACTGCACTCAGTGATTTTTGTATAGTTTCTGAAGCACACGTTTATGGCATAGTTCTGTTTGAAATTTGGGGAAATTCCTAAAGAAAAAGAACTGTACTAAATTCTTTGTAGTTAAAACACAAAATTAAGTATTAGTGAACTTACCAGGACCATAAAGCATAAAGAAATGAAAATCCAGAGGCACAAAACCTAACAAGTAAAGAAGTATTACATAGTACATAAGTATTACATAAGACATGATGTCTTACCTTAAAGGAGATTTCATACTGCTCTCCTCCCCATATTTCTAATCCTGGATCGTAGCCTCCCAGCTCCCAAAACCACTTCCGGTTAACGGCAAACAGACCTCCAGCCATCACAGGAGACCTGAAGAGCAAGTGAAACAAACAGTGGATGACAGGAATCATCATGCTGTGCTTGAAAAATGGGAAAGATTGGCAATGCAAATGGAAAAACAATAATGAAGATATTAGGACTGTGTGCGTGTGCAAGTGAACGCAGGCGCGTTCACAGTTACCTTTATTGCAAACAACATGTACCTTTATTGACCCTCTTTGAGAAACAGGCTGTGTGATAGGAACAGCTATGTAAGGCGTGGTAGACAGCCTTCTAAAAATTCCCTTTCTATAAACAAATTCTGTTAATCACTAAATAGATCCACAGCGAAAGAAAGACACTTTGCAAATGTGTTTAATGAAATCCTTGTACAAAATGTGAAACAACTCGCATTTGAATGTGAGCAAAACTCTTCAATTCATTTCAGTCTCACAGGTGCAGGGTAGAAAAAGACAAAAGTAAATAGCTACAGAGCTACTGCTGGGAGTTAAACATCTGCTTTTTTTCACAGGAGCATCTGAAACTCCTAAAATTTGGCTCACAGCGGTAATTTACCATCATTCTATGAATAAACATTTCAAACTCACTTGAATTACTTTAACTCATCCTTTTTCACAAACAGTATAGAAAACAAGTGAGATGTTAGTGTTAGAGTTAGTGTTAGCAAATATTCATAGAAGGCGCATTTAAAATTTATAAGCGTGATTTTTTTTCACTATGAGACAGTGATATTTCTAATGAAGTAAACACATTGACAGCACTTGGGATTTTGATGTTGTTCATTGATTCCTTGAACAGGAATACAAACAGATCCACACTGAATAGGAAGGAAGTAACAAACTGAAGAAAGTTCAATCCAACTGTTCCACCCATTTGTGTCAATACATGACTTGGAAGTTTTAGAGCTAGGCAATGAAAGGAACACATTTCTACTAACGTGTTGTCAGCAAGTAGAAAGCTTCTGGTAGAACTTTCTCATCAGAGAATAGACATGAAACTGGATATCATGCTATATGTAGCACTACAGCCCCTAAGGGATACTTATCTCCCCAGGAAGCATTTTCTTTCTGAATTATTATTGGTGGTTTGTTAGTGGCAATAGAAGCAGATAATACAAACCCTGAAGAATTGACTGGCAAATAAAAATTCCACTATTTGCCACTGATCTAGGATTTGGTAGTAAGCTAGTGCAGAGAAGTATTTCAGTAAGCTAGATGTTTATTAACAGGGTATGGAGTTAATGGAATAATGCTCTGCCATATTTTTTCTACCTTATCACTTCTTAAAATGCTATCTTTTATCCAAACCAAAATAGCAAACAGGCAGCTGGGTAGATTTTGACACTATTGGGATGACAGAGAATCCCCACAAGCATGAATGTCATAAAACAATCCTCTCATCCATATTCACAGTGATGAAAAACATTACACATATTTCACCTTTCATTTCTAATATGCAATCTAAAACATATATATATATAAACCTTATCTTACACCTTTTATTAAACTATTCATTCTTATGACTGGGAGTTCTGTTTTTAAGAGATCAATTGTATTTTCCTTTAGAGATTATGTTTTTAAAAGCACACAGTAGCTTTGTGAAACAAAGCTGAAATATTCTAACTGGCAGGGCCATGCTCTGTAACATAGACTGTATGTTAATACATTTCACTTTCATTGACATTGCATATCTCAGATATTGACTGTTCTTTTCACATATGAATAAATTCAATAGACTTTTTATAAGAAACCTTCCCCTGGAGATTCTGACTACCACAATACATTTCCCATTTCTACCAACATATATCTAATTACAAGGTAGCCTTTGTGACTCCAGGTTCTAAATAATCAAAACAAGATGTCCTTTTATAAAGATGGACTTGCATGGTAAATACTAAAACCTTAATCTTTACGGGCAGAAGAAATGAAGTCCCAGAAATCACAGGGGAAATGCAGGTTTTCTCTAATTCTCTTACATTTATTAACTTCCACGAGCATTTCTCTTGACACAGTGAATGGCTTACAGAGATGGCAGTCCCCTCAGGTGAATCAGACTGAAGACCAAAAAAAAGCCCAGAGACTTCAAATAGCAAGACAATTGGCAGATACTTACAAATGATACTTTAAAACTAATCTATAGATTTTCCAAGGGTAATACCGAGTAAAGAAGCTCCCTGTTACTTACATAATAGTTCATTACAGTTCTGAACCTTTATTACAGCTAGTGAAACAACCAAGCAAGTGACTGGAATAGCAGCAAACTCATATTTCTTGCATTCACTTAAAAAAAATATATATATCACATTGTGTTGTTTTATTAAGTCTTATTCACAGTATGTTCTGACATTCACTGATTTGCAGGAAAAGTGATGAGGAGGACAAAACAGGATGGGTTTCTGGTTTTCAGTGGAGAGGGATGAGCAATAAGCTGTGTGGATCTGACCACTTAGCACAGGATATGTATTCTGCTCCATGACACAAGCAGCTACTGCTGAACAGGGCTTAAATTGTCTCCAAAATAGGAAGACAGGAATCCAGTCCTACAATCTTGACAGATATGGAAAGTCCTTATGTAGTCAATAGGATTACTCACACAGATAATAACTGCACTGAGCCCGAAGAGAAGAATTACTGTCTTGTTTAATGGCTTTTATATATGAGCAGAAATGTCAAGTACAAAGCTATGCTTATAGAAGACATTTTTCATGAAACATCCTACTCAGCCACTTAAATAATCAGACTTGAGCTACTGTAGCATAATATTATGTGAATAATTATGCTGGGGAGCTGTAAAAGAATTCTACTCAAAGACTTCAAGGGACAAGGACTCCCAAAACATCAAAAAAGCTGGAAAGGCTAAGGCTGTTAAATTTTCAAATATGTGTAAAAACTCTCCACAGGAGAAGTACTCACAAACTCACGGGATGAACAGTACTGCAAGTAGTAGTCAGCTGATCCAAAAATGGCTCAAGATACGTCTATTTTCTCAGCACCGATGGGTGTGCTTGGACAAAAATTGAGTTTGATTTTTCTTAGCACAAAATAGTTATTTATCACAAAAAGAAAATACACTGAGAAGTCAGCCAAATGCTTAACATGAAAAGATAGCATACGGATTTAAAAAGCATACTAGAAAAATCACCACTGTAGCTTAGCTGTAGCCAGTGAAGAATTTTCTGATGTCTCAAAATTTACACGCAGAGGAAGAAAAGAGATTCATCCATGAATTTTCAAGGTAAGAGGAAAAACGACACAGACTTAAAAGGAGCAAGAATTTGCATTAGAAACAAATGTAGTATATTGCAAATAAATGAATGAACCGCATGAGAAGGCTTGGAATCATTACATTGCTAGAGTGATATATACAGTGAACCTAAATAATTCACTAATGTGAAAAGGAACAGGAGCTTTGACAAGAAATGAATGCACCTGGGAACCACCTGTACTAGATGAAGCATTCTAGTTGGTATGCTGACACTCAGACTAGAAGGTGACCAATATATGACACACATTTTGTGTCAAATGTCAGTAGGTGAACACAGTTTTGCATCATCCACTATTCAACATACAGAAAACTTTATACTGTGTATTGATCATTGCTTAGTTGAGATGCTGCTGTGTTCTGGGGCACTTCGAAAAGGACTAAGAGAAGTTACCTACCTGGAACTGCTGAAGTTTGATCAGGGATAGTATTGCACCCGAACAACAGGGTATTACACTACACATCTCTTATACAATCCAGACTTACTAAAGATTGTTGCACTACTGAACAGAAAAGCCCAGCTACATGTCAGCTGGTATCAGGCATCAGTGCAGACCTTCTGGAGCCACAGATATGACACTACTTCTAAGTAATAAAAAGGTCCAAAACAACTGAAAATTAAAATCTTATATATGTGTGAAGTAAGAGACAGAGATATGGACACTAACGAGAAATAAAGTGGATGCATAAAAAATGAAGAAGAGGAGTTGATTAAAAGGCTACAAAGTGAGAGAGGTTAATAAAACAAATGACAAAGTGTGAGCTGAAAGGCTGCTTCAGCTGACAAACTGAAAGACAATTTTTATATTGTGAATAGAGAAACATGATGTAACTGGGATGAATGCAGGTAAGACTGACATCACTAAATTTTTCAAGAAAGAATTTAAAAGGAGGAACTTTTATATACTTAACTGTTTAAATAAATATGTTAAAACGATTTTAAAATGATTTTAAAATACACTGAGTTTTTTACATTGAATATTTCTGTACATTACTGTCTCCTTGTGTTTTATTGACATCTGTTTAACAAGGCGGTTACAAACTTCTCCCCTAATTTGATGACTTTGTGCCCAACTTCTAACATGATCACATAGGTTTTGCAAAATACTGTATCTCCAGTCTCCATGGCATATTTTTGAGTGTCTAGGAACAGTATCTTAAAATATGTGGCAGGCCAATTGTCTACACAAGGGGTATGTCTTTCAGTTGACTTGCTCCCCAGAAATACTGCCTCAGCAGTTTATTCATTGCATATTCAAAGCTGTCATCACAGTACACTGCAAGCTACCAGCTGTTCTTTTTCTTATGATGTATGGAAGTCCTGAATATTTATGGTAAGATATGACAACAATTTCACAGAATAAATGGAGGATAGCATTTGTGTTGCTGTATTCAGCTGTGCAGACACTATTGTATAATCCCATTGTCACTGTTAAGTAGATTGAATATTATGATAATTTTCCTTCCCCTATATCTTTCCAAATCTATCATATAATGATAGATTTAACACAAGTGCAAACTGTCCCATCGTACCTACAATGAATACCTGCATGTATGTACGTCTGTTTCATACCTATCTACTCAGTGACACCCCATAAACTAATTTACAGGTGATAATTCATTTATAAGATAGATGTCTTACAAATGAGAGATCTTCCAAAGCCATGTAGACATAGGCCTGGACCAACTACTCTGGGTGGCCCTGCTGGAGCAGAGGTTGGAGCAGAGTCACCCAAAGATCTTGCCAACTTCAACTGTTCTGTTATTCT